TGGACTGACTACATTGCAGGAGTGCACTGAGTAGGTTTAGTAGGCTGGTTTGTGACATGTATTTGCATTTATATCGACAGTTCGGTTAGATTTAGTTAGATTCTGTTAGCTGGTCCCTCCCTCAGAAAACAGTCGCACCATTGTTTCAAACCTCCATGACTGGCAAGTGATGTAACGTTATTTTACACAAAACCCAGTTGTTTGGGATGCAACGTACTGGATCCTTATCCAAAGCGTCCATCATTGGTGAGGTTCTTATCTGAAAAAAGTATTACTTACAGACACCAAGAGGAACGCTATGTGACTATTGTATGCTGCATACATTTTGTAATGTCTACTGTGACAATTTGAATGATTGCAATGTATCTCTCAACACAAGCATTTATTTTTTGTTTAAGGATCTTGCCGTGCCGCACAAACTGTAGTAGCATTAGCATTTTATGCCATTTTTGAATAGACGTACTCCCTGTTCTTCATATCCCCACTCCGGCGTGACACAAAGTGGCTGTTTGCAAAGGGCGGAAAGCAGAGCCGGGACATTTGCCAGCTTAAAAGAAAATGTTTTCGGTCGGCCTTCTCACCTTCCACCTTCCAATCAAAAGACACCCACGGAGACAACAATGAAACTAAACGCCGTCACCTGATAGCGCTCTTAAGGAATGGCTTAGCAAACCAAACAGGTCCAGGAGGCCAAACACAGGAGTCTGTGTTATCCAGACAAAGTGAAACCACACCATGCCTTAGGCGAAACAGAGTTCAGTTTCTTTTTCTCTAATCGTGAAAGCCCCCCCACCCCCCGCGCCTCTTAAAGTAAACCTCAAGAAGACGGCGTTGTCTCCTTGATGGGCCTTCGGTGAAAGACCCATCGCAGTGGAGAATCTGATTTCACTTACACGAGCGGACTCGGCTAGAAAGTTCAAAATCAATACCAGCTACCAGAATCTGAAGGCCCCATATCAATAGATACATGGTAATGCACAAAAAGGAGTTAGGGTTAGCATATCTGCCTTCTCAGGTTACTGTTGCCTCCGTCCAGTCCATTACGAAAATGCTTCAGCACTCTGCAGCCTTCTCTCAATCTCCTTTGCGTCCCGTATGTCATGAATTCTTTTTTTTTCTTTCTTCTCGCTAGATGCGGTGTTTTCTACGTAGCCTTTTTTTGTCTTTACCGACATTCTAGGCAAGGACCATGAAATCTGAGAACCACGTTATTTCTAATTACGTACCACACATATTCTGTTTTGAAGTCAGCGTTAAGCGGAGACCCTATTACATACATAGTAAAATACATTCGGTAGCTATTGTAAATCTTAATACTATAGTACTTCGATTTTATGCTATTCTGTGAAGTGACCTTTAACACGACCTTCTACATGTAACAGTGATCTAGGGATAGGGAGATAAATGCAAACAGCGATATATAAATTATGGCCCTGAATGGTAGACAGCATAGTGTTTTTTTTAATATATGTCGATATAAATAAAAGGATGTTATTTTTTTTAAAATTATTTAGGACAGTTCAGAAAAACACATAAGAAATTAATTTAACTTCTAGTAAGAGGTATACTGTAGTAAGTCAAATATCAGACAGAACTTATGAAAATACAAGGAACTTCTTTCCAGGATCCACAAAAAGTGACAATTTCTTGCTTTTCCATTGTTTCGTTCAAATGGCTTAAGCTATAAAACAATGCAGGCTAACTGTTATACGATACTTTTATCATTATACATAAAATACATGAAGGATCCTCACACACGGAACTATTTCACACATGGAACTAAATTAATTGAGCATATCGTTTGCTTGTGTTTATTCACATCAGCATGCTGGGCAAACGCGAAGCCAAGTCTGATTTGAAGCAGATAGTTGGTATGGGAATCCTTTTAAACAGTCAATTAAAAAATTATTGATTTCTACCCCTTAGACTAGTCTTTTAAGCTGGAGTTTAGAGGAAATAACATCTAATAAAAAGAGTAGTATTAATAACGTTAAAAATCTGTCAACAGCAGTATGTTTCAATGGGAGCTTGGGGATTTCAGACAAAGTAATTGCAGGTTTTTAGTTTCCAAGTGTGGCTACGTCATTGTGATCTGGTCCCTTGGGTTTTTTTTGTGGGGCAGAGGGAACATGCAGGGCAATAATGTACGCTATAAAAGGGAATATTGAGATATACGGCATTGTTGTACGTAGTTCCTGTCTGAGAATGGAGTCTGAGTGATGCTGAAATGAGGGAACATTCCACTTAAACGCATATTGCTGCCTGTGCTGTGAATTTTTCTCTTTGAATTCCAAACCACAGTATTGGTGTTCATTGGCTGCTGCATCTGGGAGTATTTTGATTATACTCTTTGTTGCACATGTTAAATGACCTTAGCGTAGGTCATAGGTTTGTATCTCTTAAATTACAATGCTTGTGAAACAGTGTTGTACTTTGAGTATCCACAAATTTCAGTGTAAACATTTTCAGTTTAAACAGAATTACATGGATATGAAACGTTAAAGTACATTGAGTGAAATGTAAAATCTCGTAGTAATGTAGTAGAACTATATAAATAATGGAAAATAGTGTCACTTAGTAATGTCAACGTGTGACTTAATATTTACGTGCCATATTTTTAAGTTAGAGTTAAATTTGAAATTAAAGAAAATTAAAATCTTGTCCAATGCATGATTTCTTTAAAAGGATGTTAAGTAAACTGCAAATTGCAACAGCATTATTTACTTGTTAAAAGTTTATGCAACAACAATGACGCGATGAGTTTGTGTCATCTACCGTATTTTTATTAGATAAATCACAAATCAATTCAGATATTTCCAGTGGACTTGTATGCTTATGTCATCTGCGACACCCATTGGAATTGTGATATATTTTTTTTATAAATCATCATAAAATTTTGTCCATTAGACTCAAAGCATTAAGAGTTATATAAGAAATGAGTGTTATGAAGTTCACCGCTTCATTTATAGAGCTGTGACTTTACATATTTTCCTTAATAAATGTCAGAAGGTTGAATCATCACAGTAGTTCATAGTATTGCTTTTCATGTTGTATCCTGTACCTAAGGGTACTAAGTTTTGTCTGACGTGCTAGCTGAGGTATTTTGTGCTTGAAACTCCCTTTTTTTTACCTTTTCAGTGTCTTGTTTAGGTGTCTTCAAATATACCATGTGTAAATAATATACTATAATCCAGCTTACATGCCTTTTTAGTGAAAAATTCTCCTGCTGTCGCTATAAATTTATATGAAACTTTCTATATGAAATGTAAGTATCTAATTGTTATTCTAGTACAATGAAGTACTGTAGTTTTCAAAAGAACCATTTTATGTAATTACTGGTAAGTTATACAAAACAGCATATCCATTGATGTGCATGTAAACATTAATATAGATTTTTTTTTTTTCCTAACAAAGTAGCCTGTCTTTATGGCAAGGCTGTCTTTAAAGTGGAGGGAAAATTAGCATTTCCCATGCTTATAATGCTGCATATTGTGTTTACACAAAGATCAAAGGAATTGATATTGATATTTCTGTCCAGCATAATTAGCACTAGCTCATACTTGCTGGCCATTGTTTCATCTTATTGAGTGTGATTCCAATTTACGCGTAAGATAAAGAATGAATCGACTGCAGAGCGGAAAGACATTTCGTGGAATTGAGTAAAAAAAAAAAAGTTTTATAGGAGCTAGCAGAAGGGAGGCTGTCTTGAATCCAACACGAAATGGGATAAGCTACATGCAGAAGGCTATCGGAAAAAAAGTGTGAAATGTGTCGATATGAAGAGGAGGTGGTAAATTACATGTTGAAGATGCAGTGATGGAGCGTAGAGCAATGCTGCAGGCAAGGTGACTCTAAAAAGTGAGCTACCTAAGGCAAGGGGAACAGAGGGAACCACAGAGATGTATCTCGGTATTAGCGCAGGCCTGCGATCATGCATGGGGACCGAGGCGTCCCTTTGGCGTGAGCGGTGAGGGGTGTAGCAGTGGCGCTCTTCTCGAAATTCTCGGGGAGTGAGGTGGTCGTGATTGCGGGGCTGTAGGACATCACTCACCAAACCCTCACACTTTCCTGGCCTCAGTGTCGCAATTCCACTGAGCCGACCTCATCCTTTCGGGAGAAACTCCTATTTCAAGCCGTTTCCTCTCAAGGCGGGAATCAAAAATCCGGGGTGGGAAGGTCCCCACAGCCACTAGCTCCTGGCAATGTGAAGTCTCAATTAAACCTGCCATGTTACAGTATATGCATTCTGCTTTTCTTTTATAGTTACATTAGTGTTTATTTATATTATAGATGTCACTCGAGACCTCATGCTTCTGTAGAAGCAAAATGATCATATTCATGCAATTACTAGAAAAAAAGAAATTTATTGATATGTCCTGAAATTCAGAAACGCTTAGAAAAATGCACCAGTTGTCCATAGGAATTGCATCCCAGGATGGGGTATTGCATACCTTGGTGGCTAAATGTTCTTATTTCCAGAAATGCCTGTTCATCTGGTGAAAAGTACAATTTGATAAAAGCTGCGCAGAATACTTTATAGACTGTAGAGTAGCATGAAGATAGCACACAGCAGTATGGAGGGTAGCTGAAGTGTACCGTATTTGTCCTTCGCCTTTCGGCTACCGTGACAGCTGTGTCATGTGACTGTTCGTGCTAGCAGCATGCATTGGAGGTATATCTTTGAACCAGACTGACAGATGAGATCAGCATATGACTTAAGCAGAATTTAAAGCAGCTGTGGGGACAGCAAAATACGCACATTTAATAAATTATGTGAAGAGAAATCCTTATACCCTATAACAGGATTAGATGACATTTATGAAAATACCCACCTTTGAAGTAGCAGCCTAAAGCAATTATCAAAATATTCTACACGAACGCACGTATCACACATCGCGCAAAGTTAACAGTTAGCCTGGAGTGAAGCTACAGAGATTTGATATTGGTTTAATTTGTTTGATGCTTCTGTGCTTTTCTTAACTGTTGGCTTTTATTTCCAGGTTTCAGCCAGGGAAAGGCTTGGTGATTTATCCTGAGATTGGGGACAAGCTGGACATTATTTGTCCGAAGGCAGATGCCGGAAGGCCGTATGAATTCTACAAGTTGTACCTGGTGAAGAAGGAACAGGCAGATTCCTGCAGCACAGTCATGGACCCCAACGTGCTGGTGAACTGTAACAAGCCGGAGAAGGACATCAAATTCACCATCAAGTTCCAGGAGTTCAGTCCAAACTACATGGGCCTTGAATTCAAAAGGAACACCAACTACTACATCACATGTAAGCAGTGCAATTAAATCTCCTTCTCATTTTCCTAAAGAGGGGTTTGATAAATGTTGTATTCCCTGATGCATCTCGGATCGAAATAGCCCTGGACACTTCTCTTGTGGCCTGGTTAGAAATTATTAAATCCAGCGTAATCCTCGCTGATGGCTAGAGAGGATTATCCGGTTTGAGTTTGGTGACTTCAAGGATCTTTCCTTCCACTAGCACCTAAAGCTAGAACCTCATTTTAAAATCAGACATTTATTTTACATGCAAGGTTTTCTATATAATAATACATGTTTTTAGGTTAGCTCGATTCAGACATGCAATATCTAAATTAGCCTTTCTGCATGACGTCATGTCTTTTTTGTTTTACAAAGAGCCTGAAAGTCTGGAATGCTGATTTGTTTCATTTAAAAGGCATAAATGGCTACCCAAAGGCAGATAATTTGAAACCACAGCAGAAGAGGGGAAAAAAATGAAAAAGTTGCCCCTACCCCATAGGGAAAAAGTGGGCTGTTTTTGACCCTGAATGTTTGAGAAATGTGATAAACAGGATTAGTTGACTGCTCTGGTACTACCTCACTCGCTGGACATGTTTTTCCTTCTCACTCTGACTTGATAACCTATGTTAACGGCCTAACCCGCTTAATGGGCAGTCGGCTTGAGTGGGGCAGGTCTTGTTAATTACTTTTGACATGTCTGACCCTTAGACTTGTTGGCATGTGGCCCGTGACATCACCTGACTTCACGAACTTTGACCCAGGCTCCGAGTCCCCGAACCTTACGCTGTGGAGGGTTTTGGTTCCTCAGCGGCATGCGTGACAGGATCTTTGGCGTGTGCTGCGGCGTGGGTCTCGCCATGTGCAGGCGCACTTCTGGCATTTCGGAGGCAGCGTAGCCTCTAACGGAATGCAACCCAAAACAAAACTGACTCGGTAGTCCACACAGATAAATGCCAAACCATATGTTAACCTGAGTCAATGTCGTATCACATCTCTTTTTTTAAAAAAACAAATGAATTCCACACTGTTGTTAAGGCATTACACGTGAAAAATCTGGAAATTTGCCCCATAATTTAGCTTATTTACTTTCCTTATTTTTTCCCTCCAAATCGGAGTTGCAAATTTCAGTCTCGTTGGGAATATTAGGTTCCAGTTCCCAAACAGTCGATTCACCAGCCTGGTGTTGAAATAGGAATTCCGTGATTCCATTTGGATTTTCTGGAGTGTGGCTCTTGGTGGGTAGTTGGCAGCTTCTGTGTACTGTCATCTGCACCAGCCTTTAATTTTTCACAGCACAGAGGGTTTCATGGGAGCTTGAGGACAGAACTTGTAAATAGTCTAGCTGGGGTCCTGTTTTTCTCCTTAAAAATGCACAAAGTAAAATTGTTCATTAAAAAAAAAAAAACTGTGCACATTGACTGAGAAAAAAAAAAAACAGGAATACACGCAACAGATGACGAGATACAGATCTGATTAATACAATTTTTCACATTGCAGACATTCAGTTTTTTGGAGATTTTAAATATGAATCTGGGCTGAAGTGCTTTCTGATGACATCGCCTAGCCAAATGTTAGTTAAAAAAAAAAACTAAAGGACTGGTTTCTTTTAGATACATAGGAAAGCGTCTGGTAATGAACAAAATGAACTGTATGTTTTTTGGGTTTGAAGAAAAACAGCTGTTGTTTCTTAAAGGCAAGGCCAGATTTATGTGAGTTTTTTTCTGGAGTCTGTGAGACAAGTAGATGGCTGGTACCGTGCGCCTGTCTGTCCAGATGGGGATCCCTGAACTGGATCTCAGAAGTAAAGCAGTGAGCACGAGTTGCCGAAAATCCCCCAAACACCAAAACCAGATAAGAAGCACAGAACCCCTGGTTGCTTAATATGAGAGGCAAATAGCCTCCTTTTGCTGTGGTCCGCACAGTAAGTAGCTGTGGGACCTTAGGGGGGGGGGGGTGGGTGGGTGGGATAAATAAATAAAAATAATTGTGTTGATTTTCCTTTGTATATATTCTGCATTTTCAAGGGCACAGGATTTTTGATATTTTCCATCTGGCCCAATGGGAACCAAAATTGCATTCAGATCTGGGATCAGATTGCAAAGATTTATACCAAGGCTGGCCTTCATAAATCTTAGCTCCTTTTTCCCATGGTGCTTAAATACTTGTTTACAAAATAGCGGTAAACTGATATGGCCATTAGTCTTCCGGTGACGCTGACATCCTTCCGACATCTGTCACTCAGCCAGCGATGGGAGCCTTTTCACACCCCCGTTCGGCAGAGCTGTAAACGTCCTTTAATCAGGGACACTATAAAGTGTGTGGCAGGCAAAGTGACAGCGCCATCTCTGCAGTCTGCCATTCCGCTACAGAAAAACAAGCCTTGCAGGAGGAATTCTCGGGATCGTCTGGGTGGACGTTTTGCTTACATGTCTGAATAAAGGGGGCAATTCCAGGGATCACTTGGACAGGCATTCCGGTTACATGTCTGAATGAAGAGACTGGCAGATTAATGGTAGTATTGGATCTCTTCTAAAGTGTGTGGCAGTCTTCCCAAGCACAAGCGGATCCTTTGTAGACGCGAGCCACTGCCCCCCTGCTGGGCAGTGGCGGAAAATGGTGTGAAAGTCATTAGATTCGGGTCTCACGGGCTACCCCCTCTCTCCATGGGGTGGGCCTTACTCAATATGTACTCCCATGCAGTCCATCTGTGTAATCTCTCTTCCCTCTCTGAGACTAAACCATTGTGGGGGGGGGGCAGTGATAACCCCTCATCCAAATTCCAGCCAGGCCACCATTTGGCGGGAAGAGACCACAAGGTCAAATCACGAGCCTGATTGAAAAAACAGGCGTCCTGAGGTAATTAGTCCAGAGTGTTGTTTTTGCTGGTGAGGCTGTTTATTCTTTTTTTTGTTCTCCATGTCTGTTGAGATCGTTTGCCTTTTTTTCTAACACATTTGTTTTTTGCTTATGAGGTTGGCATAGGGAAAAGAGGAACACACGTCGACGAGGATCCGTCTAATACAGACGCCCTCAGACAGGGCGAACGCGTCACACGTCTGCTATTGTCAGGCGCGCATTGACTCGCCGCAGATAACACTGATGCTTCGTGACAGCTGCCACTCTGGGTGTCCAGTCAGAGTGCGCTCCGCCTCATTACCCCGAGAGCAGCCAAAGCCTCCGGCTCCCAGCTAATATGCGTCGTTGGGGGAGGTGGGGGGATGGGGTGGGGGGATGGGAGGCGGAGCGGGAAGTATGAAAAGCCGAGATTTAAAATCCCATCCAAGGCTGAGAATAACAGATCTCGATTCTGCCGTTTAAGAGATTGGGTTAGAAAGTGTATTTGTTTACTGCATTAGAGCAAGTATATACAATGTCAAATGTTTGCATCTCCGAAATTTTTAAAAAATTTTATTGGGATATACCCTTAAAATATGAGTATATAAGGTAAACAGACCAGCTTGAAATCCATTCCGCAGGAATCGAATCCCTGTCCCCATAAAGTCATTAGCTTGTCCTGTTTGCGTAGCCAAATGGAAGCGATTTAAATATATATCGGAAACTTTACGAATCCCTGCTGCATAACATTCGTTAGCCTTTTATGGTGGTGAACCTTTTCTGACATGCAGATATTTCCTCTGAAAATCAGGAACCATGGCAGAAGTAACATCCTTAATTCAAGACTTTTGTGCCCCTTACAAAAGAATATACTGCAAGTGTCATCACCTGGGGATGAGTTAACCCCCCCCCCCCCCCCCCCCCCCCACCCCTAACCACCCCCCCCCCCCCACACACCCCTCCACCTCCGTTGGCTGTCTGCCCCCCGCCCCCCAAGGCCCTGACATGCCAGAAGAAATTGGACGCACCTTTAATCACCAGCCAACCTCATAAAACTTTAGTCACAGCCCGGAGTCATTTTTTTTTATTTTTACAGGGAGCCGCATTAGCGATAGAGCTCTGACAGCGCTTGCCCCTGCCCCCTCCTCTCTCGGAAGCGGTACCTCCCCAAATCGCAGAGAGCCATTAGCTCTATTTACACAGTCGTGCATCGAGGGGATTCCTGCTGCAAATTTAGAATAACTGTTTCTTCCTCTAACCCTTTGATCACACCCCGTTCCAGTCATTTTGTATTTTTTGGGGGGAATGCAGTCAACAATTTAACAACTGTTTAAGTGAAATTTCAAAGACATATCTATCTGCATCCATAATACCTCGATATGGTGGTGCTTGCTAGCTGTTCCTTATTTATACTGTTTAAATATGCAAATAAATATTTAGTGGAGGTTATCCGTTGCTGTTGAGCCCTTACTGAAGCACGTCATGAGTCTTTTTTTTTTCCAGAACTATTTTCCCAGAAATATTTAAACAGGTTTTCCTGCCAATGTGCGGATGACTTTAATGTTCTCTTTTATATCTACACTTCTGAGGTAATAAAAAGCCAGCCAACATTACCGCGATGCTAATACAGGACCATATTCACCTCATAGCAGTAAATCAATGATCACCGGTAGATCTACTCTTCTTGTAAAACAGGTCAATATACATTAAAAAACATATTGTGTTAAACCCATTTTGCGTCGTCGCATTTTTGACAGTCGAATTTCTGAGCCAAGCGACAGAGAGAAAGCCATTATAAATCATTATACCGTCATATAAAAAAAAACACCCTGGAGAAACACATCATGGTGGCCCAGTACTGCTGTTGTTTGAATCACTGTGTGCTGTTTGTATATTTTTCCGGATTCTAACATACATTTGGTGAACTCGCATTTCTAAATTGCCTGCGTGTGTGTGTGTGTTTGTGCTCTGCGATGGACTGGAATCCCATCCTGGCTGTACCTCTGCCTTGTGCCCTGTATTGCCTGGGATTGGCTCCAACCTCCTGCGACCCTCCGCTGAGTAAGCCGTTGGAAGATGGATGGGAAAAAAAAAATAGCACAGATGTAATTTTCTGTCACCATCCAGGTGGATTAATGTGTGCTTGCGTGTGACCATGAACAAAGGGACCTGGCG